TTATTGTAAACTAATAATGAAAAATTAATGTATTTAATCATTAAAAAGGTAAATCCAAAATTTATGTTTACAGTAAGATAGAAACTATAGATACTGGTTTAACATGTTTTGACCTGTTGTTTTTTTTTATATGGATAAAGATGGCATGGACTGTAGTTTATTTGAGTCATTTATACATGACTGTTTGATAGTGGTTTAATGATATAAAAATGACTTATTCAGTAAGTTTTTAGAGCGAAACTTTATACATAAAGTCAATTGTGTTCCAAACCCGTCCCTCCCGATAAATAAATGTGTTATTTCTATCTATGAGAAAATAATTCCTAACAAAAACATTCATAATCTATATATACACAACTTAATAAACCACAAAGGTGATGTCTGATTGGTTTGAGCTTGACTCCAAAGGTCAAAAGTACCAGAAGGTCTCAGGTTCAAATCCAAGGTGAAATAAAAATCCTCTCGTGGCCATGAAGGTTCAAACGCGGTGACTCCGGACTATTTGCAAAGCAGGTTGTCGTCCTGAGATTAGTCGGCTCGCATAACAGGTTGGATATCCAGGTTAATCAAAAAAAAAAAAAAAACTTAACGAAAAAACCAACCAAACAACCTCTTACGACTTCCATTACATAATATGTGTCTATTTATAATTTAAGATATATGTAAATGTAAAGAGTGGTTGTGGCTAATCAAAGGAGAAAACCCAATTTAGTGCATATGGATGGTATCGACCACCGGTTCGTTCATCATTTGTAGTGTAAAAAATTATAGGGTCGTGAAAAATGCTACGATATGTATTTTTGTATATTTTTAAACTAAATTGAGTATACAAGTTTTCTTGATAGAGTTGTTTTGCAGAATTTTTCTTCCACTCAAAACCCAAATTTAAATTCCGTTAATGTCATTTTTTTAGTTTTTAATTTCAGATTTATTATGTTTGTAAAAAAACCTTACGAAAAAAAATAACTGAGCACCAGCGGGGCCGGTGGCAGGATGCGATTGCCGGAGAAGGCGGGAACAAGAAGAACGTGCGGGTGGAGGAGTCCACGGCGAGTTTTGCAACAACAATCTCTTCAATGTGTTTTCTAGCTGATCATGTGACTGCTCTGACACCTTAACAACCAAACTATGTGGTGTTGTTTGTGGCCCCCACCCATGTGACTCCAGCGAATAGGAAGAAGCCACGACGCGCCATCCTCTTCATGCATTCCCACCAATTACCATCGCCCACGTCGATCCATCTCTAATCCTTATATCTTTCCTGAACTAACAAATACCCAATAATTTTGGACTTCCTCATTTATTTTTGTACTTTGCTTTTTTTTTTACTTAATTAATTGAAATATATAGCATCTTAGTAATTTGTAAAAATTATTTTATAAATTTAATATTTTAATAAATTGTTAAAGTGTTACTTGTAAAATGTTGACTAACAAATTGAGTAAATAGCATTTCAGCAAGTTGCATACGTGACATTTTCAAATTATTATTTTGCAAGTAACATTTTAGCAACCTGTAAAATTGTTAATTTATGAATATTATACTTATAAAAAATAGATTTCGTAAATTAATTTGCTATAGAAATTAATTATATAAAAAAACAGCTATAAGATGAATATTTTTCTTGTATAAGGGGCTGTTTACCAAACACTTACCTGATAAGCGTTTACCCGGTAAATTTAACACTATCATTTACTTACCGGGTAAGATTTTAATCCACCAAAACGATATCGTACGCAACAATTTACTTGGTGAGCGTTTATCATGGTAAGAGTTGTCGTCCTCACTTACCGGGTAAGACTCTTGGCCTTTGTCTCGTTCTTACCGGGTAAGATTTTTGGTCTTTACTATATTCATCTTGTAAGATAATGTAACTTATTGTTCTCTTACCCGAGTAAGCATTTGGTAAATAACCATTAAGTCTATATAAACAAAAGTAATATATGATTTAAATAATTATTGTAATTATGATTTATATTTATTAAATAGGTGTAAGTTGATTGAAACAGTATGATTGAAATGGTGTCCACATGTTCCATAATCAAACCATTGTTGTTTGTACGTGTGTGCATTAATGAGTAATTAATGTAGTTAATTAATGATTCAATTCAATGAATTAAGACATTAATTATATCATATTTAGCAAAATGAAAAGAAAGAAGAATGTTTAATCGATTATTTAAAAAAGAATAATGGAGTAAATTATGTGATGATTTCATTGGAAAGCTAATGGAGTGAATTGATTGAAAAGGAATGAAACATGGCCATGCTGTTTTTTTATTTTTTTCAATTACAAAAAAATAAACCCAATTTTTTTTTATTAACCTGGATATCCAATCCGTTATACGAGCCAATTAATCACAGGGCGACCATCTGCTTTGCAGATAGCCCGGAGTTACCGCATTTGAACCTCCATGGCCACAAGGGGATTTTTATTCTTCATTGGATTTGAACCTGAGACCTTCTGGTACTTTTGACCTTTGGAGCCAAACTCAAACCAATCATGCACCACCCTTGTGGTTAAAACCCAATTATTTAGAAGTTATAATCATTAAAATATGTTTGAATTTCTTTAGTTCATCAAGGTTGTGTTTGGTACATGGGACGAGACAGATGAGACAAAACTCATTGTCCCATGTTTGACGCATGAGATGAGACAAGAACTCACTATCTCACGTTTGGCGCAACATGGGATAGAGACAAGAACTTGGATACGGTTAGACAACATGGGATAAAATAAATTTTTTCTTGTCCACTAAAATATGTAAAACAAGATGGGACAAGAATGAGATAAAAACTAAAATATTACTAATCTACCTTAGTTTGATATAAAACCTTAATATAATATTTGTTTTAATGGTTATCACCGCTAGTTTTTGCCGCTGCCACCACCGGTGATCACCGTCGGCCATCTTCACCTCCTCTTCCACTACAACAACATTCTCCACCGCCTCCATAATCACAGTCCATCGCCACCTCTGCCATAGTCGACCACTGATCACCACCATCCATTGCCACCAACACTACCACCGTTGGCCACCTCCCACTCCTCTACCGCAACAACCTCCTCCATGACCTCCACAACCACCATCGACTACTGACCACCACTGTCCATCGCCACCTTTACGACCACCATCACCACCGTCGTCCATTGCCACCACCAGTGGCGGATCCAGGAAATTAATGGGATGGGGGCACGTTGGATGGGACTTGGGGGAAGGAAGCATATGACCATATGGGACTAGGAGGAAACCATGTAAGACGAAAATAGAAAATTTAAGCTAATCAACAAAGATTTTTGGTTTTTGACTTTGGGCCTTCCTCCCAGTGCTTAAAGGTTGGATCCGTTCCTGACCACCACCACCACCATTGGCCACCTCCAACTCCACCTCTATTGCAACAACACCCTCTACAACCACTGACCACCATCGTCCATTGCCGCCTCACCTCCACCATAACCACCACCACTACCTTCACTACATCGGCCACAATTATCTCCTCCGCCATTGTCAACCGCCACCACAATCCACCATCTTCATGTCGTCCACCAACCACCTCTACCTCCATAACCAACATCACCTCGACCACCACTGCTACTACTATCATCAATTATATCAAATTTTTCATTCAAATTTAGTACCATTATATATGTATATATTTGTTTATATGAAAATAGTGTAAAAATATTTATAAATTAAATTCTTTAACTATTTACTTTATTTGTGTTAATTATAACTATTATATAATATTTAAAATCATCAAATAACTTTTAAGGACAACTTGTTTAGTTCTGTCTCATTCAGTCCTAATCGTACCAAACACTAGACATATATTTGTTCTGTTCAGTCCTACCCTCTTGTCTTATCCAATTCTTATAAAATATTTATACCTTTGGATTTTTAATATCTTTTTTGCATAGTAATCTTATAAAATTCAAAGCAGTTTACCCTTTTTTTTCCTTAGTTGTGCTTTTCCGGGATTTATTACTAAAATATGCAAAAGAATAATAAAATCCTAAAAATGAGAATGTGAGAAACTCCAAATTTCTACCAAAGGGCCTTTGAGCTAGCGATATACAGTACCCCAACCTTCTTAGACGTTAAGGGTTCCAACCTCAACAAAGGTAGGCGGTGTGTGAGAGTTTCCTTTAATAACCAAGGGGTCGCTTACCAGAAGCTTACTAGGTAAACGCTTACCGACAAGAGAGATCACCATCATTTGCCTCGGCTATCAAAACAAATTGTTAGTAAGCTTCTTAAACTCGGTAAAGCTTTCTGGGTAAGAGTTTTTCCCTTACTTATCGAATAAGACTCTTGGTCCTTGTTATGCCTCTTATTATGTAAGATTCTCGGTTCTTGTCATGCCCATTTTGCAATCAGTAAGGTAAATGATATTGGTGAATGTTTACCCTATAGGTATTTAATAAACAATCGCTAAGTAATTTTAGGCACCCAAGATCCACCTATTTTTATGAATATTCGTGATGAATATTATTCATCGTGAATCCTTGTCACGATATTCACCATGAATATTTCATCACACTTTATTCATCATGAATATTTTATCACTAGATGAGTACTCATATAAAGGATGATTCCTAGGCTCCTAAAATATTTAAGATTCCTAAATGAACCTCTCTCATAAACTATATGTTTAAGAAAAAAAAGAACCAAGATTCATAAAGAAAGCTCAAGAAACAAGATTCATCATGACTAAATTGGATCACAGAAAACTCAAGAAACAAGATTCATACAGAAATCTAGCAGCTGAATAAGTCAATCAAGTAATCTAAGGTTCACATCTACATTAGATGATGGGTAACTCTAGAAAACTAGAATTATGATTTATAAAAAAAATCTAGCACAAAAATAAGTGTGATCAAGCAAGCAATTCAATATCCAAGAAATAGATTATACGACAAGAAATCCTACAATTGTGATTCATAAAGATATCTAGTAGCAAATCAAATGATCCAAGATCCAAAAATAGGTTAGAAGGCCTTTTACCATTTAGAACTCAGATTTATAGAGAAATCTAGCAGCAAAATTGCTGCATCAAATAATCCAAGATCCACAAATAGATTAGATGATAAAAACTCGACTACTTGACATACAAATCTTGTCGTATTTCATGGAAAAAAATGGTACACGAAAAACGTTCTATTTGAGAGTAGGGAAAAAGGGATTTTACCTCAGATCTTAGATTACTTGAAGTAAAAAGAAAAAGCAAAATTTGGTTGTAATTCTAGTCTTTCCAAGCATCCTTGTTAACTCGTCGCGAAGAAACACCGGCAGAAGAAATGCTTGGAGTGAGAGGCATGGAGGGAGTACTGGGTGCTTCAACATCATCCCAATCATCACTCCAATTGTCATCCCATCCACCTTTTTGGTCAAAATCTGTCTTGGGCCCACCTGAAACCGGGAGCTCGGCGTCTAACTTTTGGTATTTCGTGCCATTGTTCAGAAAACGTCTTCGTTGATAGGTCACACACACCAGGACTGATGCGATAATCAGTAGGAAAGCTAAAGATATGAGTCCAAGAAATGGCGTTCGTCTGAAAAGATTGGTGAAAGTCAATTGTGACATATAGTTGGATTTCTTCATGGGGTTATGTGTAAGAAAATCCATAAAGTCGAGACTGCAATTCCCTTTGTGTGTTTTTAGAGTTATAAGTCTTTCGGTTTTTCCATCTCCGATAGAAACCATAACCTGCATGTAAAGATTATTGAGTCAAATAACAAGCAGAATCAAGGAACACTAAGGCTGTTTGGTTAGTTTTCCATCAAGTCCTGTATGGATAAAGTTGTATGTTGGATTAGTCTCTCTGTATAGATTGAGAAGTTTTTCATAGATGGAAGGAGCGTTTTTTAGTCAAGAGGGGTAGGTGTGGAAAAAACTTGTCTTTCTGCATAAAGCCGCCCCCCCCTAAAAGCGTACTGAATAAGTCACTTTCTATATCATTAAGCCACTATCAAACAATCATCTATAGCTTACCGAATAAGCTGCGAGTCTCATTAAGCTGCTAACAAACAGACCCTAACTATATAATAAACCTCAGGGACCAAGACTCCTTACCATGATAGCAAATTGACCAACATTCACAAAGCCGAAAAGACCTCATGCACCACGGTCACCTTTTTAGCTTTTTCCCCTGTCCTTTTTCGGTTCCAGTTGTACTTCAGACATAAGGGTAAAGAATAATATTTGACACGTTTTTTTTTCTCTTCTATTACATTTTTATCCCTATCACCACAACATACCCTACACTCTATGACATTGTAACCTAGAGGGGGACAAATAGTACTCCCTCCCACCCATGAGATGGTAAAGTTCCATCTTGGGAAGTCCGTAACAATTCCATTATTCCCTTTTTCTTCAAGCTCCGGATATGTATTTTTCCCATTGACATCAACACTAATACTTGATGTTTTTATTGTGGTCCACAAGATCCATTATTTAGCGCATATAGGGATTTGAGAAATAGTCTTGGTTATTCTTCTTGCCCTTTTCTTTTCTTGTTCGCTCCAACTTTTGCACAATTAAAACAGCCGCTCTACCCTTTGGGTAGAGGCCAGGTGTACATCTCACCCCTCCCAAACCTTGCTTCCGACACTGGGATTGTTTAGTTTGATTTCGTTTTTGGATTTGACTAATAGTCAAACACAAGTATGTTGGACAACCTTAAAGTGCTTTACTCATGAAACATTTTTTGTGGCAGATGGTAGTAAGTCTCCAAGATGTCTACTTATAAATATGTGCTGTAAAGATTTTTCTAGCATAATTATTGCTCACCTTATGCAAAATTCCTCACATCAACCTAACCAGGTTCTACATTTCTAACAGTCGGTAATTGCATCAATCAACTAATTGAAATGAGTTTAAGCTAGTTGGCATGCAGCTTTGGTAAACATGTGAATGAAGAATAAAAAGTGTACAAGCATTACGAGAATCTGAACAGGCAAGGTCCATTAGAAGGTAAAACTGAAGAGGATTTACAGGAAAACAGTGCAAAGTAAACTATTTGTTGTTTTATTAATATGTGGAGCTTTTCTCATCTATCAAATTAATTACCTTTTGGTCATCATTCTCTTGGATTTGAATTTTTGTTTTCTCTAGGCGAACAAAATCAGGAGCATTAATATCCACGTCCAGCAGGCCTTTTCCCTTATTCTGTATTAAAAGAGAAACTTCGGTAGAATCTGGAGAAAATAAGATAATAGTCAGAACTTGCTGAAAAAATAAAAGTATAACCTCTATGCCCCCGGAAAAGCACAAAAATTATACAACTTGACTTGTGCATTTAAAATAATGAACTAATTCCCATCTTCAAAATTGATACTCCTAGTCCCATCTTACAAAGAAAATGCAAGCAGTTTGTAAGTACCATTCAAAATGACAAAATAGGGAAATCTTGTACACCCAATATAAATATCAACAACTTTTTGTAATGATGATAATAGAAAAAAAGGTAAGTTAAATTTAAAAGGTTCCCGGAGAAGAAAATGTTCCATTCTTCAAGGGACATACCAAAATGGAAATTATTGCAACTTTCATTCAAGGGAGCACACTATTCTAGTTTCGGGAAAATTTTGATGACATTGAGCTTAGAAGAAATACTGCAAATTGATTAGAAGCTTATCAAAAGATTCTTTTAACACATGATGATTACACAAAGCTTGTCGGTATGCTACCTAAGGAAGTCTCTGGCTTTCAAGGTGATCATTGATCGTACACATCTACAAACATGCCAAGTTTCTAGATGTTTATTTATAAGATCTAATTTACAACTTTTGAGTTTTCCTACCCTGACCAGTTTCAAGGAAGTAAAAGAAAATTGCAAGTAGTCATTGCATTAACTTTAGCACCAATCATCCACAGCGCATGTTGTAACTTATTAAACACACTTGTCACATGGTACACCTACTTCAAGTAGGATTTTTGAGTGATTCCTTTTAAAAAGTGTGCAATTATGACTGACTGCAATTACGTAGCCTCCTTCCAAGAATGGCATCTGAAAACAAATCAATGAATAGAGCAGGGGGGTTCTTTTGTTTTGTGAATACCATCATCCATATTAGGACAAATTTACGAGAAGCATGATATGTTTTAGACGTCAAGGAACTTCCTCCCCCAAAGATCAACTGACGCAAGGGTTCAAAACACCATTATGTGAATAAATCATACTAGTCGAAACCAACAATAGCATTCCTTGCATTCAGAAAACAAAGATACAAGCTAACTTTTGAGTCCAATGGAGCAAGTATACGACTACATCAAAATTTATAAGAAAAACAATAAACAGCATCATGTTACTGTTAATAAGCATAAAGCATCATATGACTTGTTAATTTTTCAGACCAGGGATTTTGGAATATAAATGCATAGGGAACATAGAGAGTCAGGTTATGGTTATGAAATCAATGAATAAACCAATATGCACCAAGGTAAAATGATAAAAAAAAACATGAAGAAACAACATGTACCATCTCCAGGAACACTCAGACATGCAACCATTTCATGATTTTCATCACTACCAATTGTGCATTTGAAAGATGAATCACACTGTTCATCTCGAAAACTCCCCTTCCTCATGGATGACAACTTTTCCTCTTCCGGCACATTTTTAGATTTTGACCCTTTATCCGCTATGCTTTTCTTCTCAACATCTTCTACCACCTCTTTATCTTTTGAATCTGTTTTCACATTACCAGCTTCTCCATCCCCCAATAGCTTACTTGGAACACTCTTAGTCTTATCCACAGAAGCATTTGGGATATCATTTGAAAATTTGGCCTTCTCCGAAGCATCTGCTTTCTCAGATTCTAAATTAGACCCCGATGTGCTTGATTTGTCATTCAAACCAACTTTTCGGTTTGACGTTGTTGTTTTCGAACCTAAATCATCATGTGTATTCTTCTTCACCTAAATAAAGTCTCAGATTATTAAGATATTACTTCAAGAAAACTTACTCACTCCATCTCAGACTTACAGAAATATCCTTCTAAGAAGTCAATTTGTTGAATCATATAATTCAAAACATCTCAATTTAGCTACCAACATGGTCTTATAAGTATTGAAATACCATAATTAATGTTCTTTAAAGTTAATTTTATCCATAGTTAATTGCCAAGTCACAAACTCATCCTTCAGCAGATTAATCCAGAAGCTAAAAGTAAAGTTAACACGCCAGATTTAAATACACCTAAGCTAATTCAGTTCGTAATTTAATAAAGGGTCTCTATTATATCAAACAAACTCTATAATTAATGCAAAATCAAAATGAATGATTACCTCAAGATCCGTGTCAGCGCAGTGCACTGCAACTAAAATTATAAACAAAACAACCAAAAAGGTCAAATTCAACTTCATCTTCGCATAGTCCTACAATAAAACCCACATGATTCACACTGCAATTGCATAAAACAAAGAATAAAGTAAATCAAACATTAACCGATTTACTCGATGTTCAAATTAGACGGTATAGTAGAAGGTAAGCCACCTTTAAAAATGGAAATTGTACGTGACGATTTAGGGCTCGAACAGGAACCCAGTTGGCGTGTGTGTCCACATTGATGTTTTCAGCAAAAGAGGAAAGGGGATGGAGGATTTGTTGACTCGAGAAGTCAAAGCACTGAACATGGACTATAGAGTTATAGGTTCATGGGCCGGCCCAATTATTTCCATTGACTTACGGCAACTCAGCCCATTTCGGGATCTTAATTGGGGATGACAAATGACAATAATAGATATTCGGGTAAAAAATGGATTACCTGCAACATCAACCAGTACCATACAAAACTCGCTTCCAAAGAGGTCAATTCGAGGGGGCATTTTTTTTAGAAAGGTGTCATAAACTATGCGTAGACTAATCCTAGCAAATTGTGACTGCAATAAATCAGTCATGATAAAAGCAGTGGCTACAGTTGTTATGTACGTCTGTAATCGAATTCTGTACAGATGGGATATTTCACCACATCCTCCAGGACCTCTGAGGGGAAATTTTTTTGGCTCACGAAACACTTTTCCTTTTTGGGTATGAAGCAGTGTCAAACCAAAATACTCAACAAACATTAGCTCTCCCTGAAAATAAGGTGATCCGGCTGCCTTTGAAGATGAAAATTATATCTGACGATTTAGGGCTCAAACATGAACTTACTTAGTTTGTGCATCCACGTTGATGTTTTCAGCAAGAGGAAAGGGAGTGGAGGATTTGTTGACTCGATATTGTCAAAGCAATTAATATGGAGTTATAGGTTCATAGGTTGGGTCAGGCCAGTTATTTCCATTTCTACACGGAACCTGCCTCCAAGGAGGCCAATCTAAGAGGGAATTTTTTGGCTCATTCAACAGTTGTCCTTCTTTTAGGTGTGAAGCAGTGTCAAACCAAAATACCCAACAAGCATTAGCTCTCCCTGAAAATGAGTTGATCCAACCGCACCTTATAGTACAACTCCACTCCTATCACTAGCCCTGCCTTCAGCATCCCCCTCCTTGCGGTTAAGGCTAGGGGGAGTTCCGAGATCAAACCACGACATATCTTGTATTTAGACAAAGTCACCTGACTTCTTTTTTGCCAACTAGACCACATGTATTATATGTTTAATGTTTATACGTCAATAAAAAAAACAAAATTAGGGAAACAAAGTATCGATATATCCCATCATTTAAGTAACTTGTATCATATATTTTGCAGTTTTCTATGATTTTATAAATTAATTCAATCAGAAAATTCAAATACAATGATCTATGAAAAATATATCGATATATTCGAAATTTAAAGTCAAGTAACCATTTTGGCAAAAAGTTACATCCATAATTAATGATGAAATTGCTTTAAAAAACTGAATAAATGACAACAGGCGTATTTGTTCTCCAAAAACGAAAGAGATTGATTAAAACTGCAATAGTTAATTAGCTTGCTATAACACGGTGAAAGTGTATTTGCTAGCTCGTTTAAGGTGTAACTGCATGCTAACATGACATATCTTATTATATAAATCAACTGAAATACCAGACATACACAATTGAAAGTTTTTACCTTCTAATTAAACTTATATTAAATGAAGTCAAATAACTTAACATCGGCTAAGTCTATGTATAACTGATCTCAGCATACATACAATCTTTCACATCTCTGTTCAAACTAATTTGGCAATCAAACAGTTAATTCCAACTTTCAACTAATATCACTTTAGTTCTACGATTTTCAACCAACTACAACGTAGTTTTTTATTTGGAGGTCACAGGTTCAAATCCAAGGAGAAATAAAATTTTTTCATGTAATCACGGAGGTTCAAATGCGGTGACTCCAAACTATCTGCAAAGCAGATGGTCGTCTTAGGATTAGTCAGCTCGCATAGCGAGTTGGATATCCAGGTTAATAAAAAGAATACATATAGACCCATTTTCAAGGTGTTACAAATCGTTACTACAATGGAGGCTCTGTAACTTTGGATTGCACCATGATCAATCAATATTGAAAGATACTGTTTGACCGGTGACAATACGTTGCAACGACTGAACATATGTATCAGAAATTCATTACAGAACATGTTATCGAGCAAGCTTGATACTTGATTGGAACACTCTGATGTGTGGTAGGTGAAAATTCTCTTCCAATAAATCCATATTTAACTAGCCCAAGAAATCCACATTGTTTAGTTGTTTTTCCATTAAGCTTTGTATGAGTTAAGTCGTCTGTATGAATTAAATTGTTTGTATGGATAAATGTAGATTATTGTTTGTTTGCTTTGTTGAATAAATTGTCTGCCTTTTCAAATAAGTCATACAAGCTACTAAGCCTAGGGGTGAGCATAGGCGGGTACCCGTCCTATTTGACAGGAACCGGAACTGGAACCTGTGGTTCTTGAGATATTAGAACCGGAACCAGTTAGAGCGGTTCTTAATTTTTTGGAACCGAAACCGGAACCGTCGGGAACTGATTCCGGGTACCCGCTTCCTAAAATATTAAAATTTTGTTAGAAATAAAAAATAAAATATTGCCAAAACACTAAATAAATAAACAATAATACAAATTATACGATGATTACAAATATTGTTTAATGATTACAAATCATAATAGACTAATAGTAAATGTTGAAAGTTTAACGATTACATACTATAATTGTAAATGTTCAAAGTTTAACGATTAAATACTATAATTGTAAATGTTCAAAGTTTAACAATTAAATACTACGAACCCAATTAAACACACAATTTGAAAAAATATGAATCATTTAATCTCAAAAATCTATTTTAGAGTTATAAGTTCTTGACCTAATTTAAATTTAGTATTAAAAACAAATTAATTTTTTTTAATTGAAAAATACCGGGTACCCGTCGGTTCCGGTTCAGGGTACCCGCCGGTTCTTGGTACCCGGTCCCGGCGGGTAACGGTTCCGAAAAATTGAGAACCAGAACCATTCTCAATCGGTTCCGTATTTTAAGAACCGGAACCACTCATATTGGTTCCGATTCCGAAACCGGCAATTCCAATGAAGTTTTGGTTCCGCAAATGGATACCCGGTTCCGCTGCTCACCTCTAATTAAGCCCATTAAGTCATTTCCAAACAAGCCATAAATGTAGGATCAACAATTAATCCATGGGCTTTTTAACAACAATTGAACCATTTTACATGGCTTTGACTAACTTCGGAAACGGGTTTTAAAAAAATTCAAGAAATACAATCATTTAAGTAAAGTCATAATTAACGATACAATAAATATTCATTTTTGTTTATTGATGCATATGCTCTTTACTAAAAATAGAAAAAAAAAAGATCTGAAGACGTAATTTTGATGATATATTATAGATATCTTAAATCATTAATCATATAACAGCTAACATCCTCAACAAGAAAATTAATACAAACGGGTGCATAACCACAAACCATAAGTCCAACAAAGCAATTATGAAGCATTACTTAACACTATCCATACAACATATAACGATGCAGATCCATTTATTCTAACATCTTTAAATAAATTAATTTTGGGATCGTCATTTGTGAGGTGTCCACTTTAAAAAAATTATAGCCAATAGATCATACATTATTCTGATTGGTGTTTATGTAGCTGAGTTGTACATTACATACTGGTATTTTCATATACTGAGTCAAATCTTTATCGATGGATAAACAGATACTGAAAAAGTCATTGTACGCTCCAATAACATACAAAAAAACAAAAAGTCGTTATAGAATATGTATATGGATTTGGGTTGGCAAAGGTGGGGTTTACCGATTTCCTCGGCTATTTATATTGAAATAAATCGGAATTCTTACAAAGACCGAGTCGTATCTGCTATTTTTGTTCATTGGATTACGACATAAAATTTTATTTCATTATATAATTGATTATCACATCATGTAGGGTTTGGGGTGGCAAATTGTGGGATTTATTGGTTTATACAACTTTTTGCATTTAATGAAAGTTGAATATTTGTTGCATCACCAATTCTTATTTATTATAATAATTTATTGTATTTATATTTGTAAATCCTATTTATATGTGGTTGTTACTACATTTTTCCTCCTCTTAGTGAATCATGATAACATTAAATTTGAGCTATTTGGGTTAAAATATGAAATTACAATATTTATATTATATTATAAAGTATTTGATAAAAACTCTTAAAAACCAATTTTTATGCATTAAGTACCGCTTATTGATGCATATTACTTAAAATTCAAGATTAAAAATAAATTGTGCCTAAGTACAACTTATTAAAGTTTAATGTTTGAATTCGTGTAACTAACTGAAGATAAACATTTTATTTTAAATATAAAAAATCTAAATATGATTAGGATAATCATTGAGTTCTAATAGAATATTTAATTGTTATTCTTATAGAAAATTATATTATTAAATCAAAAATAAACTATTTCGTTATTAAATCTAAATTAAATTATAATAAAAAATTGAATTAAAGAAATTACACAAAAAACTAGAACTTTTAAATAGTTAATTTGATACTAATATTAATATTTGTATTTTTGAAATTTTATGATATCTTCAAATTTATATTTTATTCAAAAATAAAAACATTATCTTTTTTCTCAAAACCACATAAAAACCGTATTAAAACATCTACAGAGATGGAATAAAACGAAACATTAAAATCGAGATATATCCCGCTGCATTGTGCGAGTACCCTTATAGTAAATTATAATATACAATTTATTTATTTTCAAAAAAAATATCTAATCTATACTGATACTAATTAAGACCGCGCTTGAAAATGTTCCAATAATAAATGTGAAATACGGTCTCTTAAATTTTTAGGGTTCAATTATACATATTTTAGTCTTTATTTGATTATATATGTTTTAACCCAATTGTAATATTGATAAATAATCGTGTGAGGATATGAGTTAATATGATAAGTATAATAAGGAATTCAGACCCTTGATCACTTTTAATCTCATCTCCATCCCTGAATTTCGCTCATCACGGTAATTGATCTGGTGCATCTATATGCACCACATTAGTATTGATCTTCAATTAAAATTGAACAAATGATGGATACCTCTTATTACTTTTCTCATCGTAACTTTCATTCTCACCGAGATCCAATATTTTTTATATTTTTATATTTTGTGTTACTTATCAGTCGTTCGGTTGAGATGTATGTATAACATGGTCTAAAAAAAATTGATATACAATGATACTAATGAGAAAACACGTAACCATGAGTGATATCTTTACTGAAATTTACTTATACGAGTTTATAATTAATAAAACTTTATACGAGAATACTTTCATTTTACAAAAAAACTCGAGAACACTTTTTTACTATAGTCAATCACACGTGATACTATGATCCATGACATATGGTACACATGCGATACTAAATTAAAGACGCAGAGGACTTTCATCATGACATAAGTTGCACACTACTAGGCCCTCTCACGTGTATTTTCACATATGATAAGAGTGTTGTCAATGTGATACTAGTGATACTAAATCAGGCATGCGGACGATCTTGTTGTGGGACAAGTCGTCTGCATATAACCAAGTACCCTCACTCACATGTATGATCACATACGATAAAACTGTTCTCACATGCTCGTAAAATGTAGGTGTTCTCGTTTGAAGCTGTTGTGTAAAGTACAAGCTAAGGAAGCAAGAGATGCATTGTGGGTTGTACTCTATTGTTGGTTGACTATTGAGTTTGATCACATGGAATGAGAAGAAAAAAGAGGTGACCCATTTGCCCATTTAATGTTATCACCTTTTTGTATTAATTTCATCGTTTGGTTTGGGTCCCATCAATTCCATTTTTCAAACCTTAACAACTCAACATATTATTTCTTTTTTTTTTGTGTCTATTTATTTTTCTATAATACTATACATTATAGTTCTATTTATGATTATATATATATATATATATATATATATATAGGGAAGGGTTCAAACGAGAACCCCTGTGATTTAMGAGAAYRCAAGAACAACCCAATAACCTCATATTGTGATAAAAAATAAAATTAAAAGATTTTTTAAATTAAAATTAAAATTTAAAAAGATTTAAAAAAAATTAA